GTTTATAGTAAACTCAGTCGGACATCCAAACATAATGAAACCTGCTCTAGTTGCAGCACATGTTACACCCGTACGTACTTAAAGTATTAATATAAGTCAACAAAACCTGTTGGTGGTATATCTGAGTAAGTATCTTCAAAGGAGTATTTTTTACCATTCACAACAATAAAGTCTTCTGGTGTCAAAAAGAGCAAAACAAGCTTTAGTCGTCATTGGTTTTAAGGTCAGTTTACAATATCGTCCTTGAGGACTTTGTAAGTTTGTTGTTATAGAATTATATGACTCAGGGTTTTTAGTCGTAATAGTATAAACCACTATGTCTTCTGCCATTTACATATATTTAAAAGTTTTTCTGAAAGTGGAGAAAGAACTTCATCTAAACTTTCACATGGCGTTTCTTGAAGTTCTCTGTCTAAGAAGTTCAAATATTTTGTAAAGACATAGAACTTTCCTTTGTCTACACGAACAAACAAAACAGGGTCTTTCATATCGTTCAAAAGTGTGTAAAGTCCTTTACATGAAATAAAGTCCTATATATTTTTTCTTCAAACATCTTTCAAGAAGTTTTGACATTTTTACTTAGCAAGTAAATTTTAATGAAATGTTGTGGTCGTCAAATATTTTTTGACGTCTGGGAAACTATATTTTAAGTTCAACGTTTCACCTCCTTTCATAACGTATATCTTGTCAATGACATTATATGAAACACCACAGCAAGCAATGTCGGGTTCTATTTCTTTGATGTTTATATCGTCTGCCTCTGTCAAAAGTTTCAATAGTTTCTTTCAAAATTTCATGAGGTGCAATGACATATGAGTTCACTTTTACAGGGTTTGTGCTCAACCAAGTTTAACATTAGACCTAAAGCTTGACAAATCTTCTCCTGAGTTTTTAAGTTTGTCTTTAAGTTGTTGGTAGTCGTTTCGAATATCTGCAACAGAACTTAAGTCTCTGCTAACTTCAGGGTATGTTGGTTGTTCTTTTACAGGAACTATTGTTATATACCATCTTCGTCTTCGTATGGTTTCCCCACTTCAACATCTCTGTCTTTGACATTGACAACAACACTTTGACTGTTTGTTTGAGTTGGTGAATTTAACTTCACGTCTGCCATCGCCATTAAACCTTTTGAAACACTACGCTTCCTATTTTTCGGAAATGACATTTTACTTAGAATAAAAAGATGGACGTATTTGAGTATCTCTTCGAATTGAAGCAGAACAAAGTTTACACACACAAACAGTACAAGTTCATTGACAGAATAGTTCTTTATACAAACAATGGAAAATGTTATAGAATAGCAGTCTTTGCTGAACCAAAATATTTTCATAAAGCAAAGAAAGTTGGTATAACCGAAATGGTGAAAGTTCTTGACGTTGACAAAAATATAACAACAAAACTCACCGATATTTCTAAAGGTAAGTTTTTAATACAATACTATGTCAAAACTGGCGTACTGTCAATATTTGACGGAGAGAAGTCAGTTCAAGAACAACTTACTGACCTGCTGCCAAAATCTGCTCGATGGAAGCTGTCGTTATACCAATCTGAGGAGCACCAGCAGGTTTCATCGAACGAATCTTCAAAAGAGCATCTTCCGTGAAAAGTGCTATTGGTTTTGTAAACTTCTTTGCTTTCAATTCATCTGACCGTCTCTGTCACCAGTATATTGTATTTGAACTGTACCAACAGTTGAAATACCACCCATAAAGTCTTCTGAGTCAGCAAATGGAATGCCAAGCCAAAAGTTTGAACGGTCTCCATTTGTATATTGAGTTTTTTGACCTCCTGTATGAGTCCATACTTTCACATATGGCATAATAGAACTTTGCATTTCAGGGTTAATGGTTGTTGTGAAGTTGTTGTTAAAGTTCATAGCATCTAATGTCAAGTTGTATGACCTCATATCCTCAACTGTAGAATATTCTTCTCTTGGATAATATTTGCCATCTATGTTTATATGATATTTAATACCGGGTTGTAGAAACAAGAATAGTCATTTATAGTTCGTCTGAACAGTACAAACATAGTATCTGCATGTTTCATTGCAGTTGTTAAAGCAATATCTGTTCTTGCACCTGGGTCAGCACTTTGGTTTCCAACTTCACCTGCAAAGTCTTTGACAGATATTTGGTGTATAGGGAACATAAGTGGAACTGCAATATATTTGGCAGCTAAAGCATTTGAAATATCTGGGTCCAACATATAGACTGCAAGTCTGCTTTCTATTCTCTTGCATTCAAACTTTTCGCATGTGAACTTAACTGGGTCCCAAGCAGTTCCAGCAGCATTGAAGTAGTAGTTTACTTCAGTGTTGAAGTTTGAGAAACCAAAGTCTAAGTCAACTTTGTCTTTGCAAAAGTCACAGAACTTGGCTCCACCAGTTCCAGCTACAGTAAGAGTGAATGGGTCTTGTGTTGGTGCAATGACTAAGTTATTTTTGCTTGGAGTAAGTTCGATAGAAATTTTTCCTGCCCAGTTTGGCAAGTATCTTAAAAACCTGAAGATGAGGAAAGATGACAAAGGAACTCTAAGTTTCAATTTTACTTTGGTTACTGCTGCTGCAGTTTGTCCAGAAAGGTTAACATAAACTCCTGGAACGTTAGGGTCAAGTCTTCTTATTTTCTCAATGGTGGCATACTGGTCTGTTTGTTCTCTAGCTTGTGGTTGTACTGAGTTTCTCAAAGCGAACCATTCATAGTTTGCCCATGTTACTGTTTGAACTAAGTCAGAGTTAGAATATATCTTATATCCCATGAAAACTTCTGGAGCATATTGGTATCCGACATAGAAAATTCCATTGCAACCTTTCTTGTCAGACAACTTGGCAGAAGGTTTTATTTCAATGTCTTGTTCCACGTATAAGAATGAGTTTCAATAGAAATTATATGAAACCTGTCGCAAGCAATATCTACTGTTGTTGAAGAACCTTCTCCAAACTCACCTACGTTTCCATAAGAAACAGCAGTTGTATATTCGTAAGTTCCAGGAACTATTTCTGACCTTCTAATGGCATGTCGCATTCGTTATACCATTCGGAAACATTTCCATTCATAGCATCCAAAACTGTTGGCGTTATATTCTGAGCGGCGTACATTTCATATGGGTAAAAATATAGAATAGTTGGATTTATATGTCATAATAGAACCCACGTGGACCAAGCTTTACTTTCTTCCTGACTGAGTTTTTAACTCTTCTTTTTCCTTCATTGCCACTACTTTCACTAGATGAAGTTACTTCTTCACTACTTTCACTTTGTTCTACTCTTCTTCTTTGGTGTCGCTTTGGTAACTTGCCCTCTGCTTCAAGTTGTTGCATCTTTGCCTCATGTTCATCTAGTATGTTGCAAATTTTCCATGCCCTTTTTGCCTTTTGGCTCTGGTCGCCCATCTCAGGTAACCTATATCCTAGAAAGAGTTTGTCATAGTTTGTATTTGAGTCGTCGCTTATTGTTGCATGACTCTGTCCTGAGTTTCCGGTTCAAGCTCTTCAAACAGTGCCTGTCCATATGGAATATGCTCGTTTCCAAATATATGTTTTTGTAGCCATTCTGGTTTTCTTTCCATGTTACCAACTATATCTTTTGTGAATGGGAAAGCTTTTACCCAATCTTTCAGTCTTGCGTCATTTATTTCTGTAGTTGGTTTTATTTTGTCAAGGAACATGTTTTTCAATACTAACATTTCATTTGGTACTGTCGATTTGAGTTTTCTTAAATATTCATCCCTTCTCGGTTCATTGTCTGCAAAGTAAGTTTTATGACATTTTGTAAACTTTCGTTTGCAAGGTCATGTACAATAGGTTCTCTCCTTCTCTCTCCCTAACTTTCTTTCTAAACTCTTCACCAAATATACCATCTCTATGGTTCTGTGTAGTTCTTTGAGATAAATGTTCTAGAACGTCAGGTGTTATATTTCCATCAGCCATGTTCATTTCATACTGGTCCAAAATATCTGCATGTTTCATATCTTTCAATGGCATTAAAGCCGCGCTTAAAATACCAGCTATATCTCGTTCACCATTGACTTCCATTGCGTCTACAACTTCTTGGAATTGTGGTTGTAAGTTTATGAACCACCTATCCGGGTTAGCTTTATGACCCCATCTCATTGTAGTTCCATAGTCTGCAGAAACAAAAGTAGGTTTGTTTCCATCTTGGTTAGGTTCTGAATGAACTTTAAACAATGTTTCATTTCTATATGTTTTCTTGAAATTTAACCTTTTATTTTCACCGAGTTCATCCGAAGATTGAACGTTAAATGCTCGTAAGTAAAAAGGGTTGTTGTATTTGTGTACATTTTCTTTCAGTACTTCCATTCTATGCTGAATATTTTCATCTGGTGTTGGAGTCTTTTGTATGTCGGCAAACATTTTTCGATATTCTTCTACTATGTCAGCCGAATTTTTTTTAGACTCTTGGAAATATTCCATATTCTCCGCATACTCTTGTTGAGGGTCAAGATTTTTCGGCTGTTCCAAATCTTCATCTAGTTCTGTGAAGTTAGTTTCCAAAGGAGTGACTTGTTCGTTTCCTTCAGGCTCTTCTAGCTGTTGTTGCTGAACTATTTCTTCCATGTCTGGTTGTATCTGAACTAGTTCTTCCTGTGGAGTTTCTTGTACCTCATCTGCTGGCATTTCATATATTCCGAGACCGTTTTCAACAATTTCCCTATCTAAGTCATCCGGACTCATAAACCTTTCTTCTTTCGTTCCGTCTCTATTTTTTACGCGTTTCATGACGGGAGTTGAATTGTCATTTAGCTCTGACATCAAATATCTCGGAGTAAATTCGTTCATGTCATTTGGATGATATGCTATTAAATCATATCCCTTAGCGAGCTTGTATTTTCCAGGTTTGAATTTATATCCGTTTTGGTGCTGAGCCATAAAGCTAAATAGGTCCGGGTCAGTATTTCCATCCTTGAACTTTCTAATAGCTTCTTTATATCTGTCACTAAAGTCAATACTATCTGGGTAACCATAGTCTTCCTTAAGCCTTTTTAAGAATTCTTGGTTTCCTTGTTCTCTACTTCTTTTATGTCCTTGCTCTGTTTGTGGTTGTTGTGCTGGTTGTGGAGGTTGCTGTGCTGGTTGTGGTTGTTGTTGTTGTGCAGGGTTTTGAACTGTTGGTTGTTGTGTTGGTTGTTGTGTTGGTTTTGGTGCATGCCTGTGTCTGTGTCCATGTGACGATGTAAATGTTTTAGGTAGTCCTGGTGCAGGTGCTTCTCTTGGAGGGTTTGGTGGTATATAAATTCCAACAGCTGGTATATAAGTTCCACCAGCTGGCACATATGTTCCATCTGCAGCGTAATGTCCTACCTGACTTTTCGTTCTTAAGAAAGCATTTACTAGGTCTGTTTTGGTCTGTTGTAACTCTTTTTCTTGACTTTTCACAACAGTTGCTCTAACGGCGTCATAGGCACTTTGAACTGCCTGTCTCGTTGCTGCATCTGTTATTTTCGTCATATTTTGTGCTACTTCTTTTAACTCTTTGTCGAAACCTTCAGACTTCAGTTTCTTTCCAGATGAGAAGTCGTTCACTAGTTTCACCTTACTATGAAGAGCTTCGAAGGCGTTCTTAAAGTCAGCATTTGTTAAAGCTTCATTTGAACTGTCTTCATCCGCTTGTATTTTTGTCCTTATTGACCCTATGAGTTGGGCTGCTTTAGCGTTGGCTTGGGCATCTAACCAGTCATTGTTGGCTTTTATATATTCTGCGCTTTTCATTGCCTTTTGCATAGCCGCGTCGTTATTTTTACTTTCTTGTGCTAAGTTTTCATACTGTACGGTTTGGTTTTGCAACTGTAAAAGTTTTTCTGCCTTTACATTTGCTTCAACTTCTTTTTTATACTCATCGCTATCCATATATGTCTTCAGGGCTTTTTGTTTTATCTCTTCATCTTTCAGTATTTTATATTGAGTAGTATGGTTTTTCAAATTTATGACATCTTGTTCCATTTTTGCTACTTCTGCTGCCTTTTCTGACACTTTTTTCGCATATTCCTCTGTACTTAGTTCTTTCAGTTGTTCTTCTTTCTTCTTTTTCTCTACGTTTAACTCATTGAGTTTCTTTGTGTGTCTGTCATATTCTAGTTTCTTTTCGTTTTCACTTATTTGCTTCTGTATGTCTATGTTTGACTTTTTGACATCTGTTATTTGATTTTTGAGTGAACTCAAATTCATTTGACTTTGAGGGTTATAGGCTGTTCCGTCTGCAGCTCCACCATAGCCTGCCATTTTCGCTAAAAGTGCCGCTCTTAAACCTCCACTCTGTGCACCAACAACTCGGTTTAAAAGCATAGGATTGCTTGACATTTGTTGCAACATAGTGGGGTCATTCAGCATTTGTTGTTGCAACTGTTGTTGTGGTGTCAGTCTTACTATTGGATGTTTCAATGCTCTCTTCCTCTTACGTATATTCTTACGTAGCTTACGTGGCATTTTAAGTGAAGTTAAAAAGCGGTTTTATACTAAACATCTTCGGGGCTAGAGGGCGCAACGCGCCTGGAAGCCCCAATGCCTTTTTTTTTATTCTAAGGATAATATCATATTTAAAATAAGAATATACTAGTTTAGGTGGTATAATTTTTTTCGATAAATTTGAGAGCATACACGTTTAGGGCATCAAAAGTGTCAATTCGCTCAGCGAAAGCCGAGCTAGCTTCGTTCTCGAAAGAATAGGGAAGGAGTGAAAGAGAGTGATACAGATGTTGACACATTCATATCATTTCAACAAATTTTGATCAAATTGAAATTCAATGAAATTCAATTCACTTCATATCCTTCAGTCAGTACATTGACATCCTTCTACATCACAATGATAACTCGGGAATCAATAGTTCTACAACTAACTCAGAAAAAACAAGATTTTTCCTTCCAGCTTACAGCTTTTAAAAAGTTTCGACGATAAAAATCACTCTACTCTTGTTTATCGATATGTTGTGATAGTAGGTAAACGTATTCTTATCGATATTAATAAAAATATTTTTACGAAAATCTGAACCAATTACAGAGTTATTCATAAAGTTTATGATAACTGTAATTACTTCATCTTTGTTTTATATTTGAATAAACAATTTAATTTAATTTGCATAATTTTTTTTAGTTGAAAGACAGGAAACTTAGTTGAGTTTGTATTATTTTTATCGTTCAATTCATTGTATCAGTGAGTGATCCAGATATTTAAGATATTTACAAAAAATTTATTAATTTGATTAACAAATTTTAATCAAAATAGCAAAAATCTATTTGATAGCTGTAAGCAAACAATAATTTTTATTTCAAGCAAAATCAATTATTTTCATCTAAACGTATAAAATTATCAATTTTATGAGAATAAATTTAAAATCTCATGAAATATAAAGGAGAGTAATATTTTTCAATTTTCTTTTTTTCTTTGTCTCAAATATTTTCTGTTGGGAATTTTCTTGTTATCAAAAAAAATTTTAATATTTGTTTATTTCATTACATACAATAAAATTTTAAAAACTCTATTTGTTCACAAGAAAATTTTTTTCCTTCATATGAAGAAACATTTTGTTCTCCATTTGATGCTGAGTCTAAATCTCGATTTTTGATTTTTCTTCTTTCCAAATTTCTTTTTTCCAAATTAGAAGTTTAATTCAAATTTTCAATAGTTTATATATTTTCTCAAACCGTCTTAGATTTTCTTACTTTTTGGGGATTTTCTCTCAAAATATACAAAAATAGTAATATCAATACATGTGTCTAATATACTTTAAAACCATCGTGACAAAATTCAAAAACGAAGAGTTCTTCTCTCCAAATTTTTTTCAAAATCAAAAAATGAGATATAAAAGTACGTTTGGAAAATTCATTTTTAGCATTTTAGGAATTTTCTCACTTTTCTTCCAAATTGACATCCTTAATTTCACACATCTAATTTAATTATAGAAATGAAGTTTACTATTTTTTCATTCTTCACATCTTATTTTTTTCAAATTATTCATTTTTTAAAAAATGGAAATTCGACTTCTATGCATTTGCCAAAGAATTTATAACTATATGAAATGCATTTTATATCATATATTTAGAATCTTATTGCATTTCCAAATTCTTTATAATTAGAATCACTATTCCATTCATAGTAACTCAATAATTTAATCCTTTAACGACACCAGCAACTTATTACATTTGGCTCATACTATTATTCAAAAATATAAAATTAGGCAAAGGATTGAAGTTTAAGTCAGGAGTTAAATGACTTATTTAACTTTATGGAAATTTGAATTATTAATTGATGATTAAGTGTCTGATCTTAAAATCCAATATAAAAGCGTTGTTTCAGATTTCCAGATAATTTGGTATTGAAGGCCAATTCTATGTTGATATTGACTTTAACCAAGTGCGCTGGGTGCCACATCGAAAGCTATAATACTGGTTTTGTTGATTTGTTCGTTATCACATTCTCCTGAAACTATAACATGATTTTATATTGGTTACAGTATACGATATTATCAAATTAGTCATGATTTTGTCCATTGATGCTATTTGTTGCAATCGTTTATGTGATCAGTAAAGTTAATTTCGACTTTCTCTAAAATTCCCAAAGAATGAACTCACAATTTAACACTACTTAGCCAATTTGTTCCTTATTTATGACATTAGTTAATATGTGATCACGAAAAAAATCAAATTGAAAATTGAACAAAAGCTTTCATAGAATAATTCATGAAATTTTTGATCTTATTAAATTTCATGTTATTCTCATATTGGATTGATCACTGTTTCTGATAAGAAGGCATTCCTTATTTGAACAAGCGAATTTTTCATCAAAACTCATTTAAAAAAAAAAAAAAAAAGGTATTGGGGGTTCCAGGGCTGCGCCCCTCTACCCCCTGAAGATGTTTAGTATAACATGCAGTTTATATAAAATGAGGTTTTTTGGGTGCTGGGGGCTTCCAGGCACTTCGTGCCTTCTAGCCCCTAAAATTTTTTGAAAGTCGTTGCTGTTGACTTTTTGGTAGAGGACTCAAAATAGTAGAACTATGTCCGGATAAGTAAGGGTCTATCGTCGCTTCTCAAAGTTACGGGCGTTCAAAGAAATATACTTTGAGAGACTCTTTAGAAACTTTAGACGTTTTACATAACCATCCATGCTTTTACTTTACATCCGATAAAAGTGGTTTGGAAACCGTTATGAGATGGTTAGAGGACAAAGTCTTTACGATGAAGAAGTCTTGACAAAGTCTTTACGATGAAGAACTTGACAAAGTCTTTACGATGAAGAACTTGACAAAGTCTTTACGATGAAGAACTTGACAAAGTCTTTACGATGAAGAACTTGACAAAGTCTTTACGATGAAGAACTTGACAAAACATAGACAAGAAAGTTCATGAGAAATTAGATGAAGTCTTAACAAAACATAGACAAGAAAGTTCATGAGAAATTAGATGAAGAACTTAACAAAACATAGACAAGAAAGTTCATGAGAAATTAGATGAAGAACTTGACAAAGTCTTTACGATGAAATCTTAACAAAACATAGACAAGAAAGTTCATGAGAAATTAGATGAAATCTTAACAAAACATTTACGAAGAAGTCTTAACAAGATAGAATATGAGAGAGGTCCTATAAACCGGAGAAAGTGTCATATAAACATCTGTCAAAAGCCGCTTTTTAACTTCACTTAAAATGCCACGTAAGATACGTAAGAATATACGTAAGAGGAAGAGAGCATTGAAACATCCAATAGTAAGACTGACACCACAACAACAGTTGCAACAACAAATGCTGAATGACCCCACTATGTTGCAACAAATGTCAAGCAATCCTATGCTTTTAAACCGAGTTGTTGGTGCACAGAGTGGAGGTTTAAGAGCGGCACTTTTAGCGAAAATGGCAGGCTATGGTGGAGCTGCAGACGGAACAGCATATAACCCTCAAAGTCAAATGAATTTGAGTTCACTCAAAAATCAAATAGCAGATGTCAAAAAGTCAAACATAGACATACAGAAGCAAATATGTGAAAACGACAAGAAACTAGAATACGACAGACACACAAAGAAACTCAATGAGTTAAACGTAGAGAAAAAGAAGAAAGAAGAACAACTGAAAGAACTAAGTACAGAGGAATATGCGAAAAAAGTGTCAGAAAAGGCAGCAGAAGTAGCAAAAATGGAACAAGATGTCATAAATTTGAAAAACCATACTACTCGATATAAAGTACTGAAAGATGAAGAGATAAAACAAAAAGCCCTGAAGACATATGTGGATAGCGATGAGTATAAAAAGGAAGTTGAAGCAAATGTAAAGGCAGAAAAACTTTTACAGTTGCAGAACCAAACCGTACAGTATGAAAACTTAGCACAAGAAAGTAAAAATAACGACGCAGCCATACAAAAGGTAATGAAAAGCGTAAAAAATAGAGACGGAACGAAAGAAGAAAGGTTTATGAATGCGAATGACTTAGATAGGGAACTTGTTAAAAACGGTCTCGGAACATATGAAATGCCATCAGATGAGGTACAAGAAACTCCACAGGAAGAAGTTCAGATACAACCAGACATGGAAGAAATAGTTCAGCAACAACAACTTGAAGCAGAGGGCAAGTTACCAAAAGCGACACCAAAGAAGAAGAAAAGAGTAGAACAAAGTGAAATTAGATGAAGAAGAACTTGACAAAACAAGCATTTTGTGAAGAATATACCACCCGCCGGAATTCCGGCGGTTGCTTTTTATACAAAACATTGACGATGAAGTCTCAACAAAACATTGACGATGAAGTCTCAACAAAACATTGACGATGAAGTCTCAACAAAACATTGACGATGAAGTCTCAACAAAACATTTACGAAGAAGTCTCAACAAAACATTTACGAAGAAGTCTCAACAAAACATTTACGAAGAAGTCTCAACAAAACATTTACGAAGAAGTCTCAACAAAACATTGACGAAGAAGTCTCAACAAAACATTTACGAAGAAGTCTCAACAAAACATTGACGAAGAAGTCTCAACAAAACATTGACGAAGAAGTCTCAACAAAACATCGACGAAGAAGTCTCAACAAAACATTGACAAGAAAGTTCATGAGAAATTAGATGAAGAAGTCTCAACAAAACATTTACGAAGAAGTCTCAACAAAACATTTACGAAGAAGTCTCAACAAAACATTTACGAAGAAGTCTCAACAAAACATTGACAAGAAAGTTCATGAGAAATTAGATGAAGAAGTTTTGACAAAACATAGACAAGAAAGTTCATGAGAAATTAGATGAAGAAGTCTTGACAAAACATTTACGATGAAGAAGTCTTGACAAAACAAGCATTTTGTGAAGAATATACCACCCGCCGGAATTCCGGCGGGTGCTTTTTATACAAAACATTGACGATGAAGTCTCAACAAAACATTTACGAAGAAGTCTCAACAAAACATTGACGATGAAGTCTCAACAAAACATTTACGAAGAAGTCTCAACAAAACATTGACGATGAAGTCTCAACAAAACATTTACGAAGAAGTCTCAACAAAACATTGACAAGAAAGTTCATGAGAAATTAGATGAAGAAGTCTCAACAAAACATTGACGAAGAAGTCTCAACAAAACATTTACGATGAAAGTCTTGACAAAACATTGACAAGAAAGTTCATGACAAAGTCTTTACAAAACATAGACAAGAAAGTTCATGACAAAGTCTTTACAAAACATTGACAAGAAAGTTCATGACAAAGTCTCAACAAAACATTGACGAAGAAGTCTCAACAAAACATTGACGAAGAAGTCTTGACAACTATTCTATATTTTTACCCATATGAAATGTACGCCGCTCAGAATATAACGCCAACAGTTTTGGATGCCATGAATGGAAATGTTTCCGAATGGTATAACGAATGCGACAATGCCATTAGAAGGTCAGAAATAGTTCCTGGAACTTACGAATATACAACTGCTGTTTCTTATGGAAACGTAGGTGAGTTTGGAGAAGGTTCTTCAACAACAGTAGATATTGCTTGCGACAGGTTTCATATAATTTCTATTGACAACTCATTCTTATACGTGGAACAAGACATTGAAATAAAACCTTCTGCCAAGTTGTCTGACAAGAAAGGTTGCAATGGAATTTTCTATGTCGGATACCAATATGCTCCAGAAGTTTTCATGGGATATAAGATATATTCTAACTCTGACTTAGTTCAAACAGTAACATGGGCAAACTATGAATGGTTCGCTTTGAGAAACTCAGTACAACCACAAGCTAGAGAACAAACAGACCAGTATGCCACCATTGAGAAAATAAGAAGACTTGACCCTAACGTTCCAGGAGTTTATGTTAACCTTTCTGGACAAACTGCAGCAGCAGTAACCAAAGTAAAATTGAAACTTAGAGTTCCTTTGTCATCTTTCCTCATCTTCAGGTTTTTAAGATACTTGCCAAACTGGGCAGGAAAAATTTCTATCGAACTTACTCCAAGCAAAAATAACTTAGTCATTGCACCAACACAAGACCCATTCACTCTTACTGTAGCTGGAACTGGTGGAGCCAAGTTCTGTGACTTTTGCAAAGACAAAGTTGACTTAGACTTTGGTTTCTCAAACTTCAACACTGAAGTAAACTACTACTTCAATGCTGCTGGAACTGCTTGGGACCCAGTTAAGTTCACATGCGAAAAGTTTGAATGCAAGAGAATAGAAAGCAGACTTGCAGTCTATATGTTGGACCCAGATATTTCAAATGCTTTAGCTGCCAAATATATTGCAGTTCCACTTATGTTCCCTATACACCAAATATCTGTCAAAGACTTTGCAGGTGAAGTTGGAAACCAAAGTGCTGACCCAGGTGCAAGAACAGATATTGCTTTAACAACTGCAATGAAACATGCAGATACTATGTTTGTACTGTTCAGACGAACTATAAATGACTATTCTTGTTTCTACAACCCCGGTATTAAATATCATATAAACATAGATGGCAAATATTATCCAAGAGAAGAATATTCTACAGTTGAGGATATGAGGTCATACAACTTGACATTAGATGCTATGAACTTTAACAACAACTTCACAACAACCATTAACCCTGAAATGCAAAGTTCTATTATGCCATATGTGAAAGTATGGACTCATACAGGAGGTCAAAAAACTCAATATACAAATGGAGACCGTTCAAACTTTTGGCTTGGCATTCCATTTGCTGACTCAGAAGACTTTATGGGTGGTATTTCAACTGTTGGTACAGTTCAAATACAATATACTGGTGACAGAGACGGTCCAGATGAATTGAAAGCAAAGAAGTTTACAAAACCAATAGCACTTTTCACGGAAGATGCTCTTTTGAAAATTCGTTCGATGAAACCTGCTGGGGCTCCTCAGATTGGTATAACGACAGCTTCCATCGAGCAGATTTTGGCAGCAGGTCAGTAAGTTGTTCTTGAACTGACTTCTCTCCGTCAAATATTGACAGTACGCCAGTTTTGACATAGTATTGTATTATAAACTTACCTTTAGAAATATCGGTCAGTTTTGTTGTTATATTTTTGTCTGCTTCAAGAACTTTCACCATCTCGGTTATACCAACTTTCTTTGCTTTATGAAAATATTTTGGTTCAGCAAAGACTGCTATTCTATAACATTTTCCATTGTTTGTGTAAAGAACTATTCTATCAGTGTATTTGTATTGTTTGTGTGTGTAAACTTTGTTTTGCTTCAATTCGAAGAGATACTCAAATACGTCCATCTTTTTATTCTAAGTAAAATGTCATTTCCGAAAAATAGAAGCGTAAGTGTTTCAAAAGGTTTAATGGCGATGGCAGATGTGAAGTTAAATTCACCAACTCAAACAAACAGTCAAAGTGTTGTTGTCAATGTCAAAGACAGAGATGTTGAAGTGGGGAAACCATACGAAGACGAAGATGGTATAACAATAGTTCCTGTAAAAGAACAACCAACATACCCTGAAGTTAGCAGAGACTTAAGTTCTGTTGCAGATATTCGAAACGACTACCAACAACTTAAAGACAAACTTAAAACTCAGGAGAAGATTTGTCAGCTTTAGGTAATGTTAAACTTGGTCGAACACAACCCTGTAAAAGTGAACTCATATGTCATTGCACCTCATGAAATTTTGAAAGAACTATTGAAACTTTTGACAGAGGCAGACGATATAAACATCAAAGAAATAGAACCCGACATTGCTTGCTGTGGTGTTTCATATAATGTCATTGACAAGATATACGTTATGAAAGGAGGTGAAACGTTGAACTTAAAATATAGTTTCCCAGACGTCATAAAAATATTTGACGACCACAACATTTCATTAAAATTTACTTGCTAAGTAAAAATGTCAAAACTTCTTGAAAGATGTTTGAAGAAAAACAATATAGACTTTATTTCATGTAAAGGACTTTACACACTTTTGAACGATATGAAAGACCCTGTTTTGTTTGTTCGTGTAGACAAAGGAAAGTTCTATGTCTTTACAAAATATTTGAACTTCTTAGACAGAGAACTTCAAGAAACGCCATGTGAAAGTTTAGATGAAGTTCTTCTCCACTTTCAGAAAAACTTTTAAATATATGTAAATGGCAGAAGACATAGTGGTTTATACTATTACGACTAAAAACCCTGAGTCATATAATTCTATAACAACAAACTTACAAAGTCCTCAAGGACGATATTGTAAACTGACCTTAAACACGATGACGACTAAAGCCTGTTTTGCTCTTTTGACACCAGAAGACTTTGTTGTTGTGAATGGTAAAAAATACTCCTTTGAAGATACTTACTCAGATATACCACCAACAGGTTTTGTTGACTTATTTAATACTTTAAGGACGGATGTAACATGTGCTGCAACTAGAGCAGGTTTCATTATGTTTGGATGTCCGACTGAGTTTAGTATAAACGATATGAGCTATAATACAAAACTTATATCTGGTTTTTACTACCAACAGTTTCCTATAACAGGAAAAGGTGTCATACAAGGAATGTCTGTTCCATTGACTTTAAGTACACCTATTTTATATATTGTTTCAAACTTAGGTTCAAAGTGCTATTCGAATGTCGACAGAAACTACTATGACCAAAAGATACTCATGCGTATAAACAACACTTTCTCTGCTGGTTTGCCTATTGTTCATTCGAATGCAGAGTTTTCAGCTTTAGTAAACTCAAACACTTTAGCAAACATAAACTTAACCTTAGTTGACGCAAACTTTGTTCCTGTAAAACTTTTATGTCCTATGTATTTGTCAATGACGGCAGAAAGTTTCGAATTGGAAGATGCAACTGGTGAAAGTATTGTACTACAAGAACAACTTCAACAACAAATAGCTCAAGAACAACAAATGCAACAAATGGAACAAATGCAACAACAAGTCAAGAACAACAAATAAAAAAAAATATTTTTTTTTATTTTTATAAAAAAATGTACAGAATAGACGTTTCAGATTTTTATGACTTCCAAGCGTTCAGAAATATGTGTCCATTTCGAGACTATAACAAAGCAGTCGAGAATTTGAAACGTTTAGTCATTTATGTCGACTCTGCCCCAGAATGTTATGTCATGAAAGAATGGGATGTAGTCTTTAACAAACCAAAGCGACAATAGTTTCAGAACAAGAATGTAAACAGAAACTTAAGAAAATAAAAGTCGTACAAGTTGGTATGAAGATGTTAGATGCTTGGGATATCTTATTGTCAAAGTTAGAAGATTTTTCAGTTCGTGGTATAAAGTTCTATACACCTCTCCAAACTTCTATTCTATCTTCACTGGATATAAATACGAACAAGTAGAATGGAAAGAAAATGTTATAGAAGCTTGGTTAGACCATGTCAAAGAAATTATATGCAATGGAAACGAAAGAGTCTATGAGTATATCTTATGTTGGTTTGCAAACATCTTACAACATCCAAGTGCTAAAAATGAAACTGCTCTCATCATAATTGGAAAACAAGGAACAGGTAAGAACACTTTCTTTACAGATATCTTATGCAAACTGTTAGAGGGCTATTCGAACCCGAATATGACAAACTTAGAAAACATCTGCGGTAAATTTAACTCTTCAATAGAGAATATGAAACTTATAGTATGTAACGAACTTCAAAGTATAGATACAACAAAAGTTTTGAACTCAGATGCTTTGAAGAGTCTTATAACAGACAAAGTTGGAGTTGTTGAAAGAAAGTATAGAGACCAAAGAGTTTGTGAAAATGTTGCAAATTTCATCATGGTTTCAAACAACGCCGTTCCGATGAAGTTAGAAAGTTCTGACAGAAGATATGTAGTTGTCAGAACGTCAGAAGCTCATATGCAAGATACAGAATATTTTGACGACTTAGCAGAAACTTTAACACCTAACTTTTACAACCACTTGTTCTCATATTTCATGACATTAGATATTTCAAAGTTCAATCCAAGACAAATTCCACATACCGAAGAGAGACAAACATTGTTAGAAGCAAACAAGAGTGTATATGAACTGTTCATAGATGAAACTGACTTTGAGTGTTTAGATGAAAGGTCATTGTACGATTCGTATAAACAGTATTGTCAAGAGTATGGTTATATGACAGCGTCTAAACGAACATTCTTGGCAAATGTCAAAAGTCTTTTAGACGTACAGAATGGTGTATATACAAAGAAAAATTTTTCTGAGTAAATTTTAAAAAAAATATTTTTTTATCCGATAGAAAAGATGACGAAATTCATCTCAGTAACAAGTACATGTCAGGACTTAAAGAAGAACTAGACCCATTCACATATTTGAATGTTTACTTCTACCATTTTGAAAAGTCTACATTTGACAAAGTTTGGAACATCGAACCAGTTAAGTTTGCTATTGTGACTAAAAATGGTGCGAAATTTGAAGACTTAGACATAGAAGGTTTGTTAACAGTCAAAGAAAGTTTTGACAGAAGGTTTTCAAACCTTAAAGAAGGCAAAGCATACAAACTTGTTATACCTTATGAACCAAAGAAAGCAGACGACTATGAATATTATGAGTCTAAGATAGTTGAAGTTCAAGGTAAATTGGGTAAAAAGATTTTAGAGTCTAAGCCAGTGTTTGCTCCTAAAGAGGAAGAGAACATTGACATTGACCCAGAAATGTTCTAAAAATAAAATTTTATTTTTACATGTCAAATTTCTTTTCTGGCTCTGGTTCTTTCTTCTCTTCTTCTACTTTCTTTTCTTTCTTTTCTCTCTTCTTCTTCTCTGGTGGAGTTATGTCAAACTTCTCAGAACCATATTTTTGTAAAAGTGCTTTGTCATTTAATAGCTCTTCTATTCTGTTTTCTATTTCATTTTCAAGAACAGCGCATGTGTCTTCTTTGCATTCTAAGAAGTTTTGTTGGACTTCATCTCTCCAAGAGGCGTCATCTCTGTCAACAAGTCTGTCATTGACAAATTTTAAGACTTCTCTGCTTAAGGTTTTATGGTTCTTGTCATATTCCCAGAAACAGAACTTTAGAACAAATTCACCTTTCTTGTTTACACTATGTAAGATTTTATGGTCGACAGATGTTTTGCTGTCGAAAAGCTTGTCTCGAATATAGATAGCGAAATCGCTAGACATTTCCTAAAAGATAAAAATTTTAATTTTTCTAAAAATATGTTAGAAAAAAAGTTTGCTGACATTGACAAAAAATTTGAGAATGTTTTAAATAAGAACAAGAGGAAGTTGGAAAATGCTCAGATAAAACCCATACATGACAAGTTCTATTTGCTCAGAATGGTATAACAGGTCTAATTGCACCACCTGGGTCGGGTAAGACTTTCACTTATCTTAAAATGGCTGCACAACAACAAGAACTAGATGAGAAGAACCCATTCTATGAGTTAGTAGTCATTTGTAGTACTTCTGGTCAATTTGACCAAACCGTAATTCGTTCAAAGATATTATAAAAAGTCTAAGTTAGTATGTATAAAAGACTCTGAGTTGTTAGATTGGATAAAGAAGTACCAAAGAAGAGTTTTGAAGTACAATGCTATAAATGAGTATGTCAATTCGAAGTTTAAAGACCCAAATGAGGAAATGCAGAGAATATTAGAGAAGAAACACTTCAGAAACAAACAGAAAGAGATAGAATACATTTCGAAGAAATTGCAATCTTACGATTGGAAGACTTACCCTCACAGATGTCTTCTTATCTTAGATGACTTTGCTTCTCATCCTTTGTTAAAGAACAGAGAACAAGACATGTGTCGAATTCTTAAGAAGCTCAGACACTTTAACATTTCAGTTGTCATTTGTGTACAGACAGCAAGAGTTTAAGTAAGGATGTAAAGAGAATACTTACTGACATTGTACTTTTCCCCGGATTGTCCGAAGACGATTTCATGGAACTTATGAAAGAGTCCATGGCAGGTAAGTTTGACAGACATGAACTATGGGAGAAGTACAAAGTCATACAAGACCCTCATACTTCTTTCAGAATTCACATCTACGCAAACAAAGTTCAAATTGTAAAAAGTCAAGCGTAAAAATGTAAGTGTTTGAGTCTTAGTCTGTTGTGGTGCTGGGGCTGTCGGTTCTTCTGGCTTTGGAATGGACTCGGTTGGTGGTACGTCGGACATTCGTTTGTGTCCTGTCGGAAGGAAGGACTTTTCCTGTCGGAAGAAAAATTTTCCTGTCGGAAAGAAAAACTTTTCCTGTCGGAAAGAAAAATTTTCCTGTCGGAAAGAAAAATTTTTCCTGAAGGTCGGCCAAAAAGTTCTCAATTTTCGAAAATTTGAATGGTTTACGGACGGACAACTGGAAAAATTTTTCCTGTCGGAAAGAAAAATTTTTCCTGTCGGAAGGAAAATTTTCCTGTCGGAAAGGAAAAACTTTTCCTGTCGGAAAGAAAAACTTTTCCTGTCGGAAAGAAAAACTTTTCCTGTCGGAAGGAAGGACTCGGAATGCCAGAAGGAAGGACTCGGAATGTTGGAAGGAAGGACTCGGAATGCCAGAAGGACTCGGACAAGACAATTTACCTTATAGAGCTACCTGAGCCATCTTTGGTGTCAAGCTTGAAAAATAAATGGTTCATTTACTCTTCCTCTTTGAAGTTATCGAAAATACTCTGTTATCTTTTCCTTCAGTAGCGGCAAATCTTCTTTGAATGTAAGTATTGTACAACCTTTCATATCATAGTGTGTTTGAGGTAACGTATCTTGAACTATCTGTTTAACATCTTCATTTGGTGTCATTGAAATCGGTAAGTTTTCGCGATAGAACCAATTTCTGTCAGATTTGTAAATCTTAGCTAAGTCGTAAAAGCTTTTGTTGTTTCTTCTGACTAAATGCAACATAACCATATCTCTGTCTTCTTCATTTTCCATCTCTTCAGTGTAAATCATATACTTATAGTTCTTTTCCTTTCCTTTTGGTACCGAACGTGGTATTCTTTTCTGTATGCTTTTGTCTTTGGATTCAATGACTTCATCTTTTGCTTGAAGTTTCTTTTCCATCTCTTCACGTTCTTGTCTATGAAGTTCGTCAAGAAGTTTACAAACATACCATGAATAGCGAGCTGAAGCCCACATTGCAACAGCATTTACAAGAAGTCTATGTACATAATATCCTCTTAAACCAGGAGCCAAATTTTTACGATTTTCATGTGTTTTATGCAAGGCCGAGAATTCTCGGTCTAGAGAAATTTCACTCAAAAGTTCTTGTGTGCTTTGGTTTTTGAACCAGTCGTCTGCGTGTTTAGTATCTGGAGCAAAACATGCTGTCAAAATACTTTGCATTTGGTACATGTCATCTTTGACCGAACGAATGAGACGTAACTGTTTGTTAAACTGAACCCACTCGTATTCTTCACTTATGGCTTCATGAACGATAGCAGTTGTTGTGTTCTCTGTTGTTGTCATATCTGTTCTTACATACAAAATAAAAAATAAAAAAAAATAAAATTAGCGTTATTTCCTGACTTTCACAAAAGACCAAAAATAAACGCTTTACATGTATTTTTCAGCAACTTCGTCAAATAATTTTATAGCTTTGTCGATCTCATCTACTTCGAAAGTTTCTTTACCTTTCGTGGGAGCACCATACCTTTTCTCAAACTTTTCAAGTAGTTCTGTTTCAGCAGCTCTCATATCGTTAACAAACACAACCTTAACTCTATTGACTGTAGAGTCATATCTACTACTTATATTAAATGTTCTTCCTATCTTATATCTCTTTGTATTGAAGTCCTTCGGTTTCTGAACGATGTAAAGTAAGCCTTCACTGCAACGTTCCGTATCGAATGAACCATATGTTATGAAATTATATCCAACAACTGGGTCAATCCATAACAAAACTATCGGTATAAGACTTTTGTCGATGAGATATGCTGTAGTTCCATAGAATCTTACCGATATCATCAGCTCAGGATTTCTTGTCAAAATTTTCTGAGTAGAAGC